GGGGGGGGGGGGGGAATAGGAAGGGGAAAAAGAAAAAATGGAGGAGATTTATGTGATAGGTCTTTGGTCACTAGACACTACAGCCTGCCCTGAAGTGTTTCTTATTATGATCCTCAGCTGTAGTACCTGCTTCCTTTCAATAGCTGCCTTGTGGTGGCCAGAAACACTGAACACTGCTGTGGACTAGGAAATTAGAGCCCAGGCAGAGTCATAGGGACTTGGTGTGAAGTTCTGCAACCCTAAATATCTGTGGGAAGGAAGAGACAAGATAGGAGAAAGAATTGGGCTAAAGATTACATTAGAATCAAGTTGCTTTTTCTTTTTTTCTTTTTTTAAAAACTCATTTCATCTTTAAATCACTCCTCCTGGCATGCAAGAATCCTAAATAAGGGGTTAATAAAATGCAATCATTTATGATTTCATCAAATAGACAGGTCTACTTTGCCCATGTCACTAAAATGTAGATAATGACAAATATATGAGAAGAGGTCCAACAAGGGCTTTAGCTGGATTACTAGAATTATTTAACTTTTAATATTTTTAAACCTATGGGCAGGGACCAGATATTTCTGTTATGAAAGAAAGAAAAAAAACCAACAAAACCAAACAGAAACACAAACAAAAATCTTGCACAATTTATACTCTCAGACACTGAAAGTAGCCAGAACACCATTACAATTCCCATGATAATTTAGGATTTCCTTTAATTTTAAGATGTGCCTTGAATTATAAACAACAAAAAGCCACAGAGAAAAGCAACATAAAAATGGCTGCTGAGTTCAGAAGGGACACTTACGCCCTGTACACCTCTTCCAGTGCTCTTGTCCCACTGTCAGCAGCTCTTTAACTCCATCATCCATTGCTTTGGTGAATCTCCCCACTGCATCACATTTCTGTTCTCTGTTGCATTTGGAAAAAGCAAAAACAAAAAGCAGTTTAACAGATGCATTACTCCAACTTTAAATTCAATACTGAAATGTTTAGTAGTGTCAACTAGGTCTTAAAAAATAATCAAGAGAAATAAATTAATTCCTTGAAATTCCTGACATTTCACTGAGGTCAGAATTTCTCTCTTTAGATACATGCATTTTTCCTTCTGTTTTTCTCCCCTGTGTTAATGATAACCCAGTACCACGTGTTTCTTATTAGAATTAGTTATCTGAAAAAACCCAAAAGGCTACTAGCTAAATATCCTCCCCAATGAGATCAAATAACGGAACAACAAAATCTGATTTGATGAAAATGCATCCCTAGAACACTTAAACACAAATAGGACTCCACATTGACAGGAAATTACATGTTAGAGTAACAGAAGCAGCAAAATTCATGCAACAACAAACAAACAAAGAAAATAATTGTTCCAGATATTTTATTTAAAGTCTAAAATAGGTGAATAAAAATTAATATAGCAGTTCTCCTAGGAAAATACATATGCTATAATAACTTTATATTGACAATACTGTTGTGTTCAGTTGTATTAGAGAGGAAACAAAAAAAATCAGTGATGCTCAAAAGAGAATTCTGAATTAGCATGTGCCTTTATACCCTCTTTAAGCACATTTCCACATGACTATCAAAGCTTTCCATTAAAATAGCACTGCATACACAGCAATGCTCAGCGAACTCTACAAAAGAAAACTAGGCACATATTTTTTTAGTTTTCAATGAGAATTATTCAAACTGCATCAGATCTTATAAATGCTCTCAGCCAAAGCCTGTATGAGACACCTCACAGCAAGGCAGCCCTAAGTGACCCACCAGAGCCACGGCTGCTGCTCCAGCTGTGGCCTAAACACCTAGAGGTTACCACCTTCCCCCTCAGCTGAAAGCCCTATCCACAGTTACTTGCACAGAAACAGAACCTGAGCTTTCCAAGAGGCTCTTATTTTACTCCCATTTTTCCAGTAGCAGATGACCCTTTCATTTTCTGTACTTCATACTTTATGGTATTGTGATCACAGAAGAAGTTCACAAACCAACACATGGTTACCATCCTTTGATCAAAACCAGGAGCTGTTTCAGTAAAGAGTGCCTTTTCACTGAAGAACCTAAGAGCTATTGAACAAGCTGGTTTGTCCACTTACAGAAGTAATGGCTTTCAAGACTGTGTTCATGCACTCTGAGATGTTTCCAGGAATGTCTGGAACATGGTGTGGACATCTGATGTGTTACAGCTATCCCTGCAATGCTTGGGGATAGGTCCCCAGAACCATCCCAGGCTGCCAGCCCCAGCCTAGGAGCCAATACTCCCTGGTGAACGTTCCCTGCAGGCTGCTTGCCTGCCCTCACCTTGTCTGGGGACAAACTGTTTCAGCAGAACATATGCTGGTTGTTTCCTGCCAGGGTTCTGTATATAATACACTCACTCTCTCCTGCACCTTATGTACAAAATCCTCCCTCTGTTTCACCCCTTCAGCTTTTATGCCACTGGGATATATATAAAACACATCACTTAAAAAAGTAGGGGTTTGAAATCCTCATGTTCGAGGTAGAAGTGACCTAAAAATGTTCATCTCTTTTACTAGTACAGAACTGCTACCACACAGCTATTATATCTTGGACACAGCCTGTGCTGGGTTACTTCCAGGTACAGATACACTACTTCTTTGCTACTATAAACTCCTATCTAGTTTATTCACAGCTTAAGACAAAAGCATTATCCAAGTTTCTATGTTCTACAACAGCAAGCAAAGCATGTCATGCATACTACATATCTTCTAAGAAAAATGATTAAGCCTAAAGGACTGAAATAAAGGCTGCAGAGTAAATCCAGTCTTTCACTCTGTGAAACCCAAAAGTCTACCACCAAGAGAACTAAACATAAAAAAAGTATATATATATAACATATACACCTATAAAATATATTCATTTGCTTTTCCAGAAGGATACCCCAAAAATGCAGTAACTAATTAAAAATGAAATTTGATCATTTAAGTCAGTTTTCTTTTTTAATAGCTTTCCATTGCTTCCAGATATTAGAATCATACTGTGTGTGCACTGTATACAGGTATTTCACAGACACATTGTTTTCCTTGATGTTCTACCTACAGTTATCCTGAGGTACTTGGTAAGTCTAGCACACTTTCAAACTATTCACAATTGAAGGATTAAAGATCAAAATACACTTTCATAGCAATATAAAACATAACTCCACAGGATCTGCCAGTACTTTATCTCATCTACTAGTTTTGCATAAGTCTTTTTAGGATCAGTATTCAGCCACCGAAGTCAGAGACATCACAGGTAGTTCCACCAAGTTTTGGAGGGGTTGCTATGAAAAACCTCGTATTCAAAACAATTTTTCAGCTCTGCTTTGATGAATACCTCTTCAAATCCATGACTGTATGTGCATGCTTACTATTCTAGTTTTATATTAGCTCAGTATGTGTTGTATATCCAGATGCGTAATGTTGATGCAAAAAGAAACCATCTTACATTTCTACCATGTCCAAGTCTGGAGCTTCTGGTTCCATTGTAGAAAAGATCAAAACTCCTACAGTTTCATCTTTTTCTGCCTTCCGCTTTCCAGTTTTCCACTCCTTGAGGAAAAAAAAAAAAAAAAGACCAAAAAAAGCTAAAGTTTGACCACCATTGTTCATGAGTCTTTAAGGGCATGTACTTAAGCAACAAATGACATATTTAGGAGAACAGTTAACCAGTAGATCACCCATAAATTAAAACCTTTTAAACAAAAATTTCAGTGGAGCCATGCTTTCTTAAAGTTTCACCCCTTCCTTCTTGTGCACTTTGATTCTGGTGTTAACAGACCCTTCTTGTGTATTAGTGAAACACAGTGTAAGAGCAATTATATTCAGCTGTCTCTGCACATGTGAGAGTGCTGATATCAGAAGCTACTCAAGAAGATCATGAGACTATTATGCAATTGCCATACTAAGTTCTTAGTGGGAACAGATAAAAAGGTTAAAAATTCCACATGTATTGCAACATCTGTTCTGTTTATATCAATCCATAAGTTACAATACTAAGAAGTGCTGACTAACTAGCACAATTATACAACTCTCCACTGGCCATGCAAATATCACTTCACTAGGACTGCTACTTACTACATTATTAAGACTCTACTTACAGGATCACATAATAATTTTGGTTGGAAGTGACCTCAAGAGGTTTGTAGTCTGACCTCCTACTCAAAAAACAGTCAGCTGTGACCTTAGTTACTCAGGGCTTTATCCAGTCTGGTCTTAAAAACCTTCAAGGATCATTTACTTTTACAGCAAAATGTATGGGTATTTAGAAGTATGACTATTCTGTGGAGAAAGCAGCAGTTTTCCTGTTTATTTCCTCATCAATAGATAACCAAATTAGTAACAGAGCTGGAGCTCAGTCATGAAAAAAACATTATTTACTGAAGATGAAGATACTAAAACCTCTTTAAAAAGCATAAGAAAATGCTGGAGGGGTGGGACATGGCAATAAAGAAGGGTTGGTTATATCAGGTAAGAGTGCAGCATAATCCTGTTACGACCCATTCCAGTGAAAATTGTGTTTCTGAGGGAGGGACGTTTGTTTTTAAATATAATACAGCATCAGACACATCCTAGATCTGCTACAAAGTCGCTTCTGTTGGCAAAGAAGTACCAATCAGAGAGCCTCAGTGATTTGTGAGTCTAACCTAAACAGAGCAGGGCAACAGCCAAGAGTTGTTACATATGTTTCTATTTTGCCCGAGGACACAACTATCCTTAAAAAACCCTGGAAAAGCTACTTTAAAGAGCACATCTCTGTTAGAACGGCATATTGCACCTCAAACAACTTTATGCCTCATTATGGTCAATCGGCTGAATTAGTTAGCAAACCCAGCAGCTTCCAGCCCGTCACTACTGCCACAGGGGGGCAGGCAAATGAGAAGGCTGCAAAACTGAACTCGTAGTTCGAAAGGGGATGGTGTGAGGAGGAGCAATTCCTCGATCTCAGTTCGCGTGTGAACTTCATTTCCTACCTTCTCATCTCGGAAATTGAGAAATTGCTGGAAAACTTCACTTTCTGAGACAACAGGATGGCGACACATCCTTGTCATCCAAGCCTGCAGTCTCTCCATACGCATTTTGATAAATTCTTCTTCAAAGCGCCCTGTTATACATTAAACAGTAATTATTACATTTCTACTCTGGTACCCCTCGGGGGGTGGGGGGTGCTTGCCTTTTTTTTTTTTTTTTTTTTTTTTTTTACATCCTGACAAATCAGAGCCTTAAGTTACAGTATATTGGTTACTGACCAAGAGAACTCCTTTTAAAGATAGTCAGGAAATATGAAAAAGAAAACCATAATCCCACCCACAACTCAAATCAATCTTTTTTGGGGGAAATAAAAAAAAAAAACAAAACCAAACAAACAAACAAAAAAACCCAAACCGACCAACGTTTGGATGGAAAAAAACCCAGATATTCAGATGACCCAAGAGAGAAGCTAGGCACAGGCTCAGAACGCAGATATTTTTCTGATACAGTCTAGTAAATCCTTGGTCAAAAATGTTGGCAAAGAAACTACTTACTTTCCAAGATGTCATGTCTTAACCAACAAAGTGTTTCAAACTGGACTGCTCAGATATGAACAGCAGATTCAAAAAAAGCAGTACCTCCCATAAACATATTTTTATAAAGGTAAATAAATGTGTTGGGGAAAAATCTCAAAAAATTTGAACAAATCATATGTATAAACCTGTTAGAATACATACATGAAAGACTGATATTTTTTTTGAAGTTAAGAGATTTTTAAACACAAACTATTTAAGTAACTTTTTTTTTTTTTTTTTTAAAGCAATAGAGCATCAACACTATGTATTTACAAGAACCTTTCAGGTTTAGCACAAACTGTGTCTTACTGAGGGAATCTTTTCCAATTAAAAAAAAAATGCACATCAGCCTTCTAAAGCATACAGTGAATAGGTTGTATTTGAAAGGAACGAGAGATTCCTCCAGCATCCAACTCTTAATTTCCATAGCAGCACAGATGACAAACCTTGAACGCGTGTACTCTTTCAATATAATTCTACTGTATAGTTACTATGGCAGCAGCCCTGCAAAGCTGACGTTTTAAGGTTTTTGGGGATTTTTTTGTTTGGTTGGTTTTTTTAAATTGCAAGCATGGGAACTAGCCAGACTAGCAGGTAAAGAACACAACTAGTGAAAAATAAAGTTTGGGTATGAGTATGTTTCCTGCAAATTAACTAGGGGAAAAAAAAAAATAGAAAGTCAACTACTATGGAATAAATGTTACATAACCTGCAGTAATACGTTATTCCACCTGTAATATATACCGAAACCTCTGCAGTATTCCTGCCAGCATAAGGAATGCAAGGCAACAGAAAGAGTAGCATCTGGAAGTTATGTGCTGGTCGTTAGGCATATCATCACCAGCAAATCATGACCCTGAGCAAAGCAGTCCAATTGTAAAGAGTCTTGTTTTGCCAGGACTAATGGACAGAAACACTTTTCTAGACAGTCTTCAGAAAGAAGCCTCCTAAACACAATAAAAAAATAAGCACCATTTTTTCAGTTTCCTATGTTTCAAAAAAAAGAGAGAAAAGGAGGCATGCTTTCTTTTCGTTTTGTTTTGCATGAGACAAATTACCCTCTCCCACAGACTCCAGAAGACCAAAATCTACAGGCAAAGTTTAACTGCGATGCCAAACTCTTGAGTCTTTTAAAATACAGTTACAATAAATTCTAGAGATCCCATCAGGTCTTCTGTTTCCTTTTAGTCCACATGCACATGTTCAAGCAAAAATACTGGTGAATTCTAAACGTGAGACTAAGGGGAGGGGAGGAAGTCACTTCCTCACTTTTCAGTTTCCTCGGCATTTATCCCAGCATCTGTATCAATGCTTAGCTTTCTTCAAACACAGCAGAGCTGCTGCATTTTCAGTGATGCCCACAGCCACATGGTTGGCAATATGCCAGCTTTTGTATGTTTGTTTTTTGGCTGGTTGTCTTAGAGGCTGTATAAAACCTTACCAGAAAACATACAAGTGAAAACAGGCAAAAGTAATGCATTTTCCCCTAATACAGGTGTCCAATTCTTTTCTTTACATGCACTCTAGCACACCCTTGTAGAAAGGAAGCCAGAGACTACTGGAAGCCAGAGACTACTGGAAACACACAGGCACTGCCACATTCAATTGCAATGACTGAACTCATGAGCATTCAAAGGGTCCAATCCCACTTTTCTTGAAGTCAGAATAAAAAGACTTCCATAAGCTTCAGAGAGTTTGGTCAAGTTGAACTGACATCAAGCCAGAGCAAAGTGTTATACAAATGAAAAATGCTTTCTAAATCAAGTGTGAAATGGAGCAACAGGAGAAACAGCTGCAATATTTTACTTGTGAACAAAAAAAAGCCCAGTTTATCAGGGGATGCTCCCTTTCCTCTGGGAGATTTCAAAGCTCCTATAGCATAACACATTTAGAATAAAATGCAAAAGAAAAAACATCCCCCCCCATCATTTCTCCAATGAGAAATGCTGATTTAAAATCAGCAAATATGTAACATAAGTACTTACCTCTTCTCTCCAATAATAAGTATTCTCTTCTGCAGTAACTAGGGGGGATGCCTTTTTTTTAAAAAAAAAAAATCACCTGACTAGATAAGTAAACCTGAGTTCTGAAATGATGCTTAGTGTTGACATTTTATTATCAATAGGCCATCACAACTCAGAAGTGTTGAATGGTGAAAGGTTGGGTTTTTTGATAGCTTCTTTAAAAATAGTGGGGGGAAAAAAAAAAAGAAAAAAAACAAAAAAAATCAAACAGTAAGAATGAACTGAACCTTGTAAAAAAAGTAATCTTATTTCCCATCTCATGAATTCACAACTAGGAATAAAATACCTGTTACTTGCTTGTCTGGAAGAGATGGGATTGGAATGGCTAATCCAAATTTAACCAGGAGACGCTCATACAACCAGTCAAAGTGCTTGTATCTGTGGTTGACAGACCGATTAGTGTTCTGTAAGAGAAACACAACTCTGAATTTTGACAGGCATCTACAGATAGCGACACAAAACAAGTTTGATAAGAATAATATGTGGAATGTAAATAAAATTTCTGATTTAGAGTCTTAAATCTGTAATTAAAAAGAACTTGAAATGCTTGAACAAAGTAACTCTTTGGAGAATAAAGTGTGACAACTACCACTTACTCTTACAGCCCTGTTACCAAGTCACACAAACTGTATTATTTATATGTACAAATGACCCATATTTGTGAGAGAGAACAACTCATTTCAGATACACTTACAGTGCAGGTCAGCTGATATTCGATGTAGCTCTTGAGACCATACATTTTAGAACCTTTTTTGGGATCTGCCACCACACAGTCAAATGTAGAGGTAGGATAAACCCACATTGGGCCATAATCACCAATCTGTAAGAAATTACATTATCTTTAAATACATCATGCTGTACCAGCTGTAAACAAGGAGACAAATACTTTCTTCACTTGAAAGTTTCCACTGATTTCAGCAAAAGCTGGATAGCCAGAAAATAGAGACGCTTCTCGCAACCAGAGATGATTGACTAGTTTTGTTTATCTTATGTATTTTATAATTCTTCCCAAATAGTGAAATGGTAAATTCTAGGGAATGCTACTTCAACCACATTTCACTAGAACAGCATATATCTAGAATAATCAGGTTTTTAGATGAGAGGATGGCCTGACCATCATGACTGAATATTGCAAATGTTTACGAATGTAGTTCTTACGTACTACATAGCTATCTAAAGTGACAGACAGTGTAATGCATTAATCTGCCTCCCAATCCCAGGAAAAAAGGTTATTTTCATGATCACAAGTAACAGATCCATCATGAGGAAAAGAGTACTGAAAAAAAATAAGAGGAAAAAAAAAAAAGTCAGCACACTTAGAAGAAAGGAGCTAAGACTTGACCCTGGAAAATCCCTCAAGTGATATATGACTCTGAGATGTAGTCTATCACAACTTTGAAATACTTAAATGACACACAGTTTTATTATGACACTTCTAATTCTATGTTCAGTATCAGTTTCTTTTGACCCAAATACATATAATATTTAGCCTTGGGGTTGCTAAATTGGAGAAAAAGGGAAGATTAAAAAAAACCCCAACAAACAAAAAACCAAAAATACCCACCCCCCCCCTCAACAAGCCTACACAAAATAACCAAAACAAAAAAAAAACGCAACCCCAAAACAAACCACACCACCTCCACACACAAAATACACACACACACCCAACTTACAATTATGGATATTTTCTCTTTGGGTTTTGCTAGCTGCTTTGCCAACAGATACTGTTCCATCCCAGGTTTTGCAAATCCAGGAAATCTAACAAAAAAACCCAAATTATAAGCTTATTCCATATTTTCCTTTCTTTGATGCATGCAGAATTACCTGCCACCATGGGAAAAAACTGTTAGCATTTCTCAGGTATAGAAAAGAACTGATGTGGATTAAACAACCAACAATTTGCCCTGAAAAAGTAGAAAAGTTTTAGCTACTGAACTCCAGCTTTTATTTGTGCAATACAGTCCCCTTCTAGGGCAAAGTAGCTACTTGTGCTCTGCAGCCCATCAGAGCAAGCATAACAGGAGAACACAAAGTAACATCTTCCACTCCATTGCAGTCCATCCTCTCTGGAAATGCATACACACACACACATTCACAGACACTGTCCTACTGTTTCAGATTATGAGACTTCATTCAATCATCTGAAAGAACAATGACCTACAGATTTATCAAGTCTTTTAAACAGGAGTTATGTTAAAGAATTTATCCACCAATTAGAAAGAAAACCACACACATACACAAAAATCACTGTAATGTCCTTGAACTCTGCATAAAAAGTCTTGCAAAAAGCAAATTATAGTCCTCTTTCTAATTAGGAGGGTACTTGGCCCTTGAAGTACTGCAACCTACTGCCTGCTTGCAGAAATATGAGGGGTAAAGTAGAACTTACTTCACAGACAAATAATGCTCTTAAATAAGGTAAATTTTGTGCTGGTTATACTAAATGAGTTTGCAACAAGTAGATGCCACAACAATGCAGAAGTATTGTTGCAAAACTGGACAAAACGTCCACAAAATTAACAACTAGTCATGCAGAGACAGTTGATTTTAGTTACATACTGGAGGAGACCATTGTTCTACAATCCGTTTCCAGTCTGCTTTCATCCACTTAAAGATAACCACACAGTAGCTTCTCAGAGTAACAGTAGTTTTAGAATAAGCAAACAATAAGTTGTAACATGAGATAATGCCAGTATAACCCTGACAAAGCTCCATGCTACTGTAAGATTTTTATCTTTTAAAATAAATTCAAAAATAGTTAATTTTTTTTTTTTTTTTTAATCAAGCTTTCTGTGGCCCAAGAATCAACCTGGGTGATGCACAAACATAGAACAGAACCTTTCCCCACTCCTATCAACTCATATTGCTCACAAACTCTGGGGGAACATCTCTGATCAGTCTCGCTGTATGGACAAGCCATTCATCACCTTTAACTTTCACTAACTACACATAGTGTTAAAGACAGTTACATTTTTAAGGACTTGTCAGTCCAAAAGTTCAGATCTTGTAAAAGTGTCATTTGTCTGTACAGCCTCCAAAAAAGATACAGCTTTGTCACATACTTTCAGGCTTTCATGGATCTGCGTTCTCTGATCACACAAGGAGAACACTGAACTATAAATCCATATCCACTTCTACCCCAAAACTGTAACATTTACATTGCATATTTCAAAAAGGTTGAATAGTCACACATTTACATATCTTGACAAATTCCAATTTTCTTCAATATATACGTTTGCCCTGCATTTTGCATTACTTGTTAAGTGGTAATTTCATAGCAGCTGCACGAGAATTTCCACGCTGGACCCCTCCAGCTTCTGATGCTTCATTCTCCTTGTAACCAAGATAAGATGGTGAAGTTGATTTTGGGTCATCCCAGTCATCATCCCAATCATCGTCATCAGCAGCTGCTGAAGTACACGAGGGGGCAGGGGGATAGGGAAAGGAGAAAGTTATTTTCTCTTTAAAAGCAGAAGGAGCTACCTCAGAACCCATACACAAATAATCAACAAGGTAAATATATTAAGATCTAGTTCAGACTTATTTTGTGATTTCCCCCAATCACCACCATCCCCACCAAATACTGCCTGCAAAACACTATGTTAGAAATCCATTGAGGGAGAGGGACTTAAAAAAAAAAAAAAAATAGAGGAGGTGTTGGTGTGTTAGATGAATTCAGTAGCCTTCCATATTCATAAACTTCAGGTTAGCATTCCCCAGTTTTAAGTTCTCCTCAGAATTTAGGCTTCTACTGCAAAAAGGTAGAGAAGCCTTCTGAAAGACTAGCCATTTCCTAAAATTAAGGATTTAAGAGACTACTTCTTCACAGGCCTGAGTGCAAATTCAAGGGTGTTTAAAAGTTCCAGTTATGCAAGCTGAACAACATGACTAGAAATAGATCATGTATGAACAAAACTTTGGCTTGTCATATTTCCATATATGTTTGAGGTGTCTGTTACTGTGGATCTGATTTTAATTTTTAAAAAGGTATTATTTTAGTGTCCAGTTTACCCATGTGGCAGTGTGCTACTAGGAAACAGGTTTTGTTTTGTTTTTTAAATAAGCTGTATTCTATAGTTAAGAAAGATGAAGCAATTCTTACCTCTGCTGCCCACCTACTCTAATATATTCAAAATTAAGAGAATTGTTAGCACACCTGGTCCTTGATATGCCTGTGGATGACCAAATGTTGTTGCTGCTGCCTCCCAGTTATTTGAAGCACTGTTTCTCTGGCCAGCTGCACTTTCAGGCTTTGTTGCCCAGCTGTCAGCAGCATTTCCGTTATCCCAGTTCCCAGACTTCCCAACATTCCAGCTGGACCAAGGATCACTGGCATTGTTTGCCTGCATTGTATAAAGACACAACATAAAGAAGAAATTACTGAAGAAATGAGAAACAACAACATACTTTCTTCCTGAAGTCTTTGATTGCCTGCTGATAGGCTATGAGCTTGCATTCAACACTGGTTCAATTTAGGAGCAGCTGCCAAATCTGACATTCTCAGCTACACAATTCTTAAATGCTGTAAGCACCTGTAAGAACTGAACAGTTTTCCAGCAATGTGACACCAATACATACTAATAAGTGTTACACCTCCTCAGGGAAGTTAAACTATTTGTTCCAACAGTGTGAGGAAGTAGTCTTACCCATGGTAATAATTTTACACCAACACCATAAGTATGGTGCATGTGAACTATTAATTACCTAAAGCCATGGAGTAATTAGCACATTTAAAACAAAAGATTAGTTTTTTTCAAATGGTTATTTTATCAAACACAGATTAGTGACTTTTAGTAAAGGCAAACCATAAACTGACCACACACACCATCACTACTGGTGTGATGGGGAGTTACGGCCAGCAACCTGCTCAGCTTCCCTGTTAGAGCTTAACTCATTCACAGCAAAGATGAGAGAAGGAAACAAACATCTGCCAGGGAACAGTCTGGCATCTCCCCGTAGACCTACTGTCTCATCTTAAGCTTCTGGTGATGGTAATCACACATAACCTTCTGCTGATGCTGTTGTGGAGGTGGAAACCTCAGTGAAAGAGCACAGAGCAGACATGTCACTAATTACTGCATCAATTTATCAAGTTCATCTGTCAGCAAATTGGATTAATAGCTTAGCATCTTGTTCAGCTCCTTGATTTTAACACTACACTTCAAAAAACTATTGACTAGTTAAGTGCAGCCTACTTCAAACGCTTAGTGCAGAGACTAGATGGCAGAAAGAACCACTCACAAATCAAAACCTACACACCTGAAGTGTAGGAAGAAGGAGAAGGAGCGCAAACAAAACCTACAAAGCCAGTCTTGTTCAGCAGAGGGAGAAACTGAGTTTTGTAAAAGGAAGTCTCAAAACCTACAGAAGCCAGTGCATTATTTTTATCATGAAACATATCAAAGAAGGGATGCCTAATATAAATTAATTGCTATCAGAATATAACATTTACATGTACAGAAAATAAAACTCCCACTAAAAGTCAAATTAGTCTCTGTAAAAACATTGAAAAAGTTTGTTTCTTACACAAAATAAAGTACAGCTACTCCTCATTCCATTTTTTCCACTAAAAATTCTCACCTCTCATTTTAGCTTCAAGATACTACTTAGAAATAAGAGCACTCGCTTCAGTTTTTCCTAAAATAATCTGACAGTCAGGTTTCACAGACACTATCAAACCTTTAGGACTTGAAAATGGTGTTGATATTGTGTAACACCTGTTCTTTAGGTACAGAGTCCCCAGGATCTGGAAATTATGACCAAGCCCCCAAGGTGGGGGAAATCCCCATTCAAAAGACTCATAGAGTCAGTGGTTCTTAGGAACTGATGGAATAAGAGAGACTATGTGGACAGCTTCTATACTGATAGTTTGAGGGGATTTTTTATGAGGATGAAACTGATGCAAGAACATGACTGTCTAAAGGAGCAGTATCACTGAGGTCCACCTAATTATTGGATAGCTGATGCACAGCACTACTCTCAGCAATTACAAAGAAGTTGCTGGTAGAATATACCAGCCTGTTCTTCCTACGATATCCACCTGCTATAAGTTTAAAGAGAAATAATTATACGTACCATCAGTCAGCACTGCTTATCTTTGCTAAATGACAACACACGCTGGGGTTCAACCACATGGAAAAGCACACCTGTTCCTAACATAACTTAGAGCACCTAGAAAAGAATAGTTTGCATAATACTCATTTGCCTGTACTTCTGCAATATATGTTGTGCTGATCACTGGCAAATGAAAGCCCAGAAGTAGGATGATTGCCAAAAGGCTGAGTAAAGTTTTCCTCTTCTCTTTAGTTCATATGAAATCCGGTACATGAGTGGGTGACAAAAAAACCTTAAAATGTGCTGCAAAACAAGGGGGAGGCAATAATATTAACACTGGGTACACTACTGAAGAACGACTGTCAAGAGCTATCATCACCAAAGTTGCAGACAGTTGCTGATATACACTAAATGCTGTACAGCAAGGGGAAATGGATTACTTAAATAGCCCTCTCAGATGTCTCATCTATGTACCTATATGGAAGCACTATTCAAATTGGAAAATTTGACTTATGAGGTGTCCAAGAAAGCGCTGGGGTAAGCTTCTGACCCTTGATGTATCACTCACAGAGTATAAAAGGGCTGAGATATGCTATTCCCACTCAGCTCCTTTCAGCCAAAGGGTCCACGTTTCTTTCTGAGGCACTGGGGAAGAGGGTAAGAGATGGGTTAGGACAAAGAGCATTTACAGGTCTCCTTTCATTTGTCTCCAAATGTTTGCCTATGTGCACACACACTGTGGTAGCCAAAAATCAGCAAATGTGGACAAGGGTTCAGGAATCAGGCCTGTCATCATCAAGGTCCCATAGCACTGTGTAGGACCAAGTAAAGACTGAGCATTTATTAAAAGGGTAATCTCAGCTCCAGTCAGCAGTTCTGTGGATCTCAGCAGCTGACAAATTCCATACAAGAAGCCATTCATGTGGCTTCACTCTGGTTGAATAAAACCTAATTAAGCCAGCAAGTATTTTGTAAGTGATTAAATTACATGTTCTCATACCTTTAGTTTTCCATAACTGAAATTCACAATCCTCTGATCTCTCTTGAGTCAGCACAAAGAAGATGAAGAGTCCATACAAAAAGCTGTTATTTAGTCAATGTAACTTGATACAGCACACCTAATATCCAAGTATGCAAGCAAATCTCAAATGCAAATGCACAAAAAGAAATGCCACACCACACATAATTAAGACGCTAATCAACCTTCAAATGAAACACTGCCTCTCTTTGCTCCTCAAGGTAACATCAAACAAGTATGCTGAGATTAAATTCAAGGATGAACTCCTTAAAAGCAGCTGATTTTCCGTTTTGTAGACTATTATGGACTTACCCGCTCCTACTATTCTAGGAGAAAAAACACCATAAAAAAGGCTATTTGGGGAACAGACAGAGGGAACACATTACTGAATATTTTAAGTCTTCCATTAAGCGCAGATTCAAACTCACTATAGAAACAGATCATTACTGTTGGGGGGGCTGGGGGAGGGGAGAAGCAGTTTAGTATGTTGTTAAAGATCTAATAATAGTTAAATGAGAAAAATTCCACAACAGGAAAATCCTCAGCTTGGCAGTGGAATGTCAATATCTTTACCAAATGAATCATGAATTAAATAGGAAGAAGGGACATCTTTGGTATTTTCTACAGAATCCAAAGTTATAGATAGTAAAGCTAAGGTAAGTCATTGACACATCTTTTTGCCCTGGATAAATTTTTTTTTTTTTAACCTCTTGGCCAACTGATTTGTTCCTGGCAGACTCCTTCCTTTTATTCATAGATGTTCCTGATGGACAAATAGATCCATCTATTCTACTCTTGAGGGACAAAAGCTAAAACAAACATGATGTTCAGATGCTAAATCTAAGTTGAGAACCTAAAAAGATCTAGGTAACTGTGCCATCAAAAATGACAACCTCCAACCGTAAGAAATACACCTTGAAATCTACTCAGAGACAGAAGCCACACTGAAGCAGTGAGTTGAGAAAGTAAGTCTGATCAAATCAAGGGAAGTCCAGGACAGCCAAAGCTGCAATGAGAAGTGTTATCATCTTGAAGAGAAGTTGAGAAAAGACAGACAGCACAGAGAAATGGCAGAAAATACAAGAAAAGTCATGGTGGCTCAGCTGAATAGCTCACAGGAATGAACATACCTCTCCAGTTTCATACCTGCCTTAGTTACCTTGAATGGAGACAAAGGTCTTAGGCATACTCACGCATTACATAGAACTCAAGTTCTTTGGATAACAGCCTCTGAACAGATACATAAAATAAGGAAGTGAATATAGACAGTCACCCTAAAACTCAAGCTTTTTTTTCCTCTGGGAAAAGATGTGTAGAGCTAAAAGTCTACTCAGCAGCAATCACAGAGCTGCATTCACTGTGCTGTATTTACCACAGAGCAAGTGTGCACATTAGGAGATACTGAGGTAGCTGCCATGCCCATGATATTTTATGCCCAAGGTTTCTCCCTGGTAAATCAATACCTTAGCATTGTGGTTCATGTGCACTTCTTCCTCTTCTGAAGGAAGGCCCTCTTTTCTGTTGTACAATTTAAACATGTTTTCTCCTTAAATAAATCCTCTAGAAAAAGCAGAAGTGGAGATGGGCTAGACTTTAAGGGATAACCAGCCTTATGGACTCACATACCATAATGTTCCTGTGGATAAATACATGAAAGCAACAGCAGAGAAGACAACCTGAAGCAGGTGTCAAGGAGGCAGTAGCAACAATGTCCAAGGAAACCATTAGTTCCTCAGCTGTTCCTGTCATCACTTCCTTCCAGATGAAACCATCATCCAGCACCTCCACTCCCAGTCCCACTGCTCCTACATAAAGTAGTCCCTGCATAGGAGCTGGGCTTTGCCTGCTCACAAAGTCAAGGCACACCCACTGGATGCTCCTTGCTTTCAGCAGGATAAAAACCCCACACCACTAGCAGAAGAACTGAGCTACCACCACGAAGACCAGCGCAGCTAGTTTTTTTTTGGTTTTCTCCCACTTCCAATCCCATTTCCTTACCTGTGAGGTTATTCACAGCTAGAGTGGACTAGAGACTGCATTGCTTCTGCACAGTGCAGGCACAGGATTTCCATCTATTAACTCCTGATTCAGCTCAAAAAATTAGCCATGTTTGAAGTATAGAATGTTTTTTTAGAAAGATTCATAATTTAGACTTGAGAAAACAATACTTGGTGACGGTACGAGGGGAGGGAAAACACATCTATTGTCATCCTCACTGCTTAAAGCATTTTTTTCTTTTTCTAAATTAAAGTTTGCTTAGTTTCAACTTTG